GGTGGCCGCGGGCGCGGCGGCGGCGGCGGTGGGGGCGGCTACCGCGGCGGAGGCGGCGGCGGCGGCCGCGGCCGCGGCGGCGGGCAGCGCTCCTAAGCGGCGCCGCCCGTGGCAGGCGGCACGAGCTGGGCTGCCGCCCGCGCGCCTGTGGCACATCCGGCCGGCCCCTCTGCGGCGATGTGTGGCGGCGCAAGCTCCCCGGCCCTCGCCGCCGGGGAGGGGGAGCCGGTCAACTTCGCCGGCGCGGATGGCGGACGGGTCGCTTTATGGCATCTTATCAGGCCGGGCGGGGGCACTGAGCCCCCGAGCAACCTGGGCCGGAAACAGGCTGGCAAGATATAAAGGAGCAGTGCAAGATGAGGCGCCCGCCCCGTCCACTGGCCCCCCCGCCGGCCCTGCCGCGATCCCTGGTTTTCAGGGTCGCGGCCCCGTGCGGGGCGGCCAGGAGCGGCGCATGGGGACGGGCGCCGCCCTCGCCGTGGGGTGCGATAGCGGCTGGCTGCTGCCTTGGTTTCGGGTTTGTGCGGGTGAGAGCAGGCCCTCGCACCGCGCGTGCGGGCGGCCAGCCGCGGGCCGCCGCGTGGCGGCTCGCGCGCGGTGCCGCCGGGCCGCGCGGGGAAGAAGGGCTTGATGCGATTTGGGGTGAGGGCTGGAGGTATCGGTTTGCGGCGCGCGGTGTGTCGGGGCGTTCGCGCAGGCCGCCAGCCAGGGCCGCGCTCAGCAGCGATGGCCGTCAGAAGGTGGGCTATTGAGTGGCTCGCAGAGCTATGCGGCAGGCGGGGCACGCCCTTCAAAGTACTGAGTGCGTGCTCCTACGCGCTGTGCGGAAGGATTTGCGGCCCCCGCTTTTGCATGGGCCCTGGCTGGCAGTCTGTAGCGTGCGTCGCTGACTTCCTTCCGGCCGCCCGGCTGCAGGCAGTGGGTGTGCGGCCGGCAGGAGGGGCAGCGGTCGGTAGGATGTAACCGACGCGGCCGCGACGACAGCCGTCTGCAGAGCATATCTTGTTGCAGCAGCTTGCCTGGGGACTGGTCGGGCCCGGAGGGCAGAGTGGGCAGGGGGCCCGCAATGGCAGGAAGTGGCGCGACCTGTCTGGGAATGGTCAGGCGTCCCATCAGCGCAGGGGAGCGGGTGCTGATAATGTGCGTCTGCTGCGCCCTGTTGGCAGTCAATTGTGTGGCCTCTGCAGGGGCCGCACGCAGGCCTGGCGATTGTCGGAGGCGAGGCGAATTTAGTTGAAGGCCTGCCTGTGCGCGGCCGCAATCCCCGCCGGACACGGGACCATAATCCAGCCACAGGAGTACGTGGCGTCTGGCGTGACGCGCATGACACATGCACGTGACGCTAGATCCTTCTTGTGGCTGTAATAGATGAATGACAGCGTGTTTTGGCAGCAGACACCAAATGTAAGTCGCTGTGCAGACCGGTCACGCTGCTGCGCTTTTTCACGGTGGCCTTCACACAGATTCTTTTGCAGCAGGTGAGCCAGGGAGCTCACAGATACCTCCCCAAAATATGCCCCTAAGATCTCACGGCAGGATAAACACCCATCAATATCACCAGACAACACCACCCCAGTTGCGGGCTTCAACGACAGACGGACGAAGGTCGGGCCTCGTGGGCTGGGGCGCTGGAGGCCACGATACAAGTGTGTGCTGTCATGGATGATACAGGCGAGTTTTTTCGCTTTCAACTCTGCAGCGGAAGGCGTTGATGATCCAAGGGCGCCGCCGAAGTGGCCGTGGCCAGCCACCCAGCCGCAGCTCATGCCGGTGTTGGGCAGCAGTGTGGCATGAAAACACCTTGCACAGCAAGTGTCTTGTATGGGGCCTAGAAGACCTAATGCATGAGATTGAGGCAGATGCGAGCGTGTCAGCAGTGCGACCAGCCTGCGCTCCGCCCAACCACGTGGTGCGCACGCGCCAGCGGCAGCAGTGTGCGGTGGGACTGGCGGGAGCGTTTGATAGCTATGCTGGCAAGCTCGGGCACCCGGAGGCGCAGCTGAATGCCCCAGCAGCAGCGCTCAGCACCAGCCACCTGGGAAGCCAACAGCGGCGGCACCTGCCTCAGACATACCGTGGCTATGGAATGGCAGCTGGGAGGGCCAGCACGTGCATGCCTGGACGCGCTTGGAGTGCCTGTTTGCACACGACCATCGCCGCACTCCATGCAGGATGAGAGATGTCGCCGGAAACCCCACCCGTGGGCAGCCGCGGGCCGCGGCATCGGCGCTTGCGCCGCTGCTGGCCGCGCTGCTGATGCTGCTCCTGCTCCGACCCCAGCATGTGAAAGCCCAGTGTGACACATTTGTGAAGCACTGCGTCACCTGCCGTTACGCTTTTTACGCAGGCACTGTCACCAAGGTGCAAGCGTACGCGAGCGCACTCGTCTGAGCGGTCCTGCATGATCATAGGTTGCCATCGACGTGCCGGGGTGCAGGGCGGCCCAATCGCGTTTGGGGGCAGAACGCCTGGCGCACTGTTCGGCCGCTAGGTCGCACTCGCTGACTCCTGGCGTACGCTCATCCCTTGAAATGCCGGTTTTTTCCTGGGGCATTGCAGGCAATCTGCACGAAGTGCGAGGCCGGCTACGTCATCAAGTCCAGCGGCCGCGCCTGCTGTGAGTACGCAGGCGTCATCGGGGCGCCGCGGGGTGCTGATATACGATGATTCAGGCACCTGCGTGCGTAGCAGCGTGTGGGCCGCCGCAGGGGATTTGGAACGTACTGCGCAGGCTTCCAGCAATGCAGCGCTAGGCTGCTGGCCCGCGGGCGAACGCGACCGGTTGCCGCAAGCCGCGGCCCGGGTGTGTGCGCCGCCTGTCACGCCTCCTCAAATGCGTCCCTGCGGGCCCGGGCGCGCGCACAGGGTGCTCCCCCGGCTTCTTCACACTCGATGACATCAGCGTGGACGGATCTGTAGGGTTCACCTGCGAGCAATGCGGCGCCGGCCACTACTGCCCCGGCGCCAAGTCGCTGGCAACGTCCAACTTGGTGCGCGTGACGTGCGGCAGCTTCAAGACGACTTCCCATGACTACGGCAAGTCGGAGCTCGACTGCTGTGAGTGCCGAGGGCCGGGCTCAACTTCCTGTGCAGCAGGCGCTGTCAGTCGGCGCAGGCAACAACGGTGGCGCGTGTGGGCGGTTTCACGCGGCCCAGGCTCGGGCGTTCCGAGGCTGTGCGGGCATCTGTGCGGGGTTTATTTACCTGTCACATGGCAGCGCAAAAGTCTGCATGTACAACAAGCAGAGTTCAAATCGTGCTCATTCTACGCCCTGCGCCTCGCTTGGCGGCCTGCCCGCGGCGCAGTGATAGGCCCTGGGTACGGCTGGGCGGCTGGCGACGGCTCCCAGCCATGCCCCCAGGGCTTCTACAACCCGGGCTACAACACCAGGCTGTGCACGCGCTGCCCTGGGGGCCTGACCACCGCCGCGGCGGGCACCAGCTCGCTGCTGAGTTGCCTGGCACCCGTGGGAAGCTATTACTTCCGGGGCCAGGCCTATGCGTGTGCGCGGGGGACGTACAAGGCGACCATTGCCAACGCGGACTGCACCGAGTGCCCGCTGGGGGTGACCACCCCGTCCACCGGCCACGGCAGCCTTAGCAGCTGCAGCGGTGGGGAACCACTCACCCTCTGCACGCGCGCATGCATGTGCCTCAGATCTGAACTGCATGTGGATGCAGCAAATGATGAGCAGGCGGCGGCACAGGCCCCACCTTACGCCCACCCTGCTTGCTGTCGAGCTGTATGTGCTGAGCCTCCCGCATGCCGTCCAATTCTTCCCTGTGTATCACCAAGTCAACCATTGTTCTGCCCAACGCAACAACGTGCGCCCGCAGTGCTTCTGCCCGGCTACGCCATGGCAGGCGGCGCGACACTCGGCACCACTGACGGCGTTGAGTGCCCCCCAAACACGTACCGCGCCGGCAGCGTCAACATCACTGGCGCTCCAATTCCATGCACGCCCTGCGGCAACAACATGGTCACCCTGCCGAACACGACACGTGCCACAGGCCCCGAGGCGTGCGTCGCGCCGCCAGGCTACGGCTGGTCGCCGGGGGCCAGCGGGACCGCGGGCATCGCGACGCTCTGCCCGCGGGGGTGGTACAACCCGGGGTACAACCTTGAGCCGTGCGTCGCGTGCGGCAATGGCAGCATGTCTACTGACGCCCCAGGGTCGACGAGCCCAGATGATTGCTACACGCCGGCCGGCCACGGGAACCGCCGGGACCCTGGGGGCATGCTGTTTGGGTACCCGTGCCCAAACAACACGTACGGCCGCGCCAACAACACGTACGGGCTGGTGACAGTGGAGTGCACGCGCTGCCTGGACTACACACACACGGCCGGGGCGGGGTCGACGAGCGCGTTTCAGTGCGTCACCGACGTCGGTTACGGGTGGGAGAACGGCCTGGTCGCTCAGTGTGACTACGGCTACTACAACCCCGGCAACAATCACAACCCCTGCTCCTACTGCGGGGACGGGTACAACACGAGCAGCGCGGCTGTTTCGATCTCCGGAGAGGTGGGGTCGGACTCTCAATCCGACTGCAAGTTTGATTTCGGGTACCACAACGGCACCTCCAACAACATCGAGCCGTGCCTGCGCGGCACCTACAAGGACTTGATCGGCAACACGCACTGCACCATGTGCCCTGCGGGCACGTCGACGTCGCTGACCCTTGCGGCGATCTCAAAGGCCGACTGGTGGGCGCTGGGGGGTTGAGGGGTTTTGCAGGGTTCAGGGTTTTCACGCTGCTGCACGCGCTCCTCTCCCTTACACTGGCATGAGGCACTTGTATGCTGGCTTCAAAGGCGCCATGTACGGGGCTTTCGGTCTAGGGGGTGTGCATGGGCGCGTGCAGTCATCCATGTGTCCAAGACACCCGCGTATTGCAGCGTTTGCCTGCAGGGCGAACAGCTCAGCCCCTGAGTGAATACAAGAGGCCTGCTCAGGCACGTCAACAGCACCGCCCCTCCCTGCCCGCTTGCCACTTCGGCCCCCCAAACAGCGACGTCTGCCGCCCCGGCTTCGGCGCGGCGACCGCAACGGGCTTGATTGACCGGTCGTCCCCTGACACCATCAGTTGCACCGCCTGCCCCTCTGGCACCTGGAGCAGCGGCTTTGTGACGGGCGGCCAAAACTGCTCGGCGTGCTCAAAGACCCAAAACTTCACCGGGCGTATGGTGTCGCGCCAGGTCCGCGCTGCCTGCGGCCGGGGCTGTCGGTGCAGCAGGGACGCGCATGGCAGCCATGATGTGTTGCCCGGCCGCAGCTGTGCAAGGCGCCAGGTATCGGGCACTTGGACGCCTGTGCGTGGCTTGCTCGGATGTGTGCACGTTGAGACACATACAAAACACACACACACACACACACACACACACACACACACACACACACACACACACACACACACACACACACACACACACACACACAC